CCATCATCCTTGCACCCTCCCTTCAGGTATTTGTACACATCAATCAGATGCCTCCTGAGCCTTCTCTAGGCTAAACAGTTCCAGGTCTCTCAACCTCTCCTCCTTATGTGACGTGCTCCAGTCCATTAAACATGTTTGTGGCCCTTTGTTGAACACTATACAGTATGCCCATGTCTCTTTTGCAGTGAAGAGCCCAGAACTGGATGCAGTACTCTAGGTGTGGCCTTAATAGTGCTGAATAAAGGGGATCACCTCCCTTGGCCTGCTGGCCATACTTTGTCTAATGCAGCCCAGGATGCCATTCGCCTTCTTTGCAGTAAGGACACATTGCTGGTTCATGGTCAACCTGCTACCCACCAGGAGCCCCCACTCCTTTTCTGCTGAGCTGCTTTCCAGCTGACTCACACCCAGCATATATTGGTTCACGGGATTATTCGTCCCCAGGCGCAGGACTTTGCACTTCCCCTTGTTGAGCTTCATGAAGTTATTGTTGGCCCATTTCTCCAGCCTGTCGAGGTCCCTCTGAATGGCAGCATGACCCTGTGGTGTACCAGCCACTCCTCCCAGTTTGGTGTTTGCAAAGCTGCTGAGGTATATTCTGTCCCATCATCTAGATCACTAATGAAGATGTTAAATTGTAGATGTTTTCCACCACAGCTGCTGTTTCTCAGGCTTCCTGTGAAACAAGAACTGACCCAGAACAGAAATAACAGGACAGATAACCTTGTGTTAGTCATCCAATACAGGTATTGGGTTGGGAGCAGAAGATGAACATTTAGGAAACAGTATTGCTCTTTCACAGAATCACAGACTCACAGAATGTTAGGGGTTGGAAGGGACCTCGAAAGATCGTCTAGTCCAACCCCTCTGCTGGAGCAGGATCATCTAGAGCAGGTCACACAGGAACATGTCCAGCCAAATTTTTAATGTCTCCAGAGAAGGAGACTCCACAACCTCTCTGGGCAGACTGTTCCAGTGCTCTGTCACCCTCACAGCGAAAAAGGTTTTCCTTAAGTTTACGTGGAACCTCCTATGCTCCAGCTTGTACCTGTTGCACCTTGTCCTACCATTGGTCATCACTGAGAAAAGCCCGGCTCCACCCTCCTGACACTCGCCTTTTATGTATTTATAAACATTGATGAGGTCACCCCTCAGTCTCCCCTTCCCCAAGCTAAAGAGGCCCAGCTCCCTCAGCCTTTCATCATAAGGGTGATGCTCCACCCCCTTAATCATCTTTGTGGCTCTGTGCTGGACTCTTTCAAGCAGTTCCCTGTCCTTGCACCGAGGGGCCCAGCACTGAACACAATATTCCAGATATCACCAGAGCAGAGTAGAAGGGGAGGAGAACCTCTCTCGCCCTACTGACCACACCCCTTCTAATACACCCCAGGATGCCATTGGCCTTCTTGACCATGACAATTTGGGCAAAAATCAATGGCATCTAACAAAAAGCTTGAGTAGACAACAGGCTGGAAGAGAAGGGAAACAAAGCGAAGGAAATAAAGGAAATACACATACATAGGATGGTATAGCATCACTATCTGCATAGGGATGTGTATTGGGTCTGGCTGGGATTTGCACAGCATCAGGGCTGTCTCTCCAGACCTGCCACCACCTGCTCCCACTCCCCGACTCCCGCTGCAAAGGCCAGTAGATTGGGGGTGGGCAAGAGATAGGTTGGGAGGGGACACAGCCAGAACTGCTGACCCAATTTGACCAAAGGCATAGTCCATATGATACGATGTCATGCTCAGCAATAAAAAGCTAAGAGAAAGGAGGAGAAGAGGGGGCTTTTGTTATTAAGGTGCTACATGTACTGAGGCCCTACTTCCCAGGAAGTGGCTGAACATCACCCATGGACGGGAAGTAGAAAATAAATCCTTTTGTTTTCCTTTGCTTCTGCACGCAGCCTTTGCTTTTTCTTTATTAAACTGCCTTTATCTCGACCCATGAGTTCTTTTTCATCTTATTTTCTCCTCCCAAGGATGTCTGAAGTTTTACCCAGCACGGCCCATGAAGCCTCCTATGAGAGACATGGAAATAAAAATCAAGGAACTGTCTTTCTTCTCTTCTTTCCTCTCACTCATTTGAATTTATAGGCCTACAAGGCCTTTCTTGTTGACAGGTTACAGATGAACAAAGTGGGACAAGACTGGTCTCTACTGGCACATCTTGGAAATTGCCTTATGAACATGTCCTGAGGAGATGTTAGCACTATGTAGAAACACTCCTTCAAAATTAATACAGAGGTGATTTGCTTGTTTTCAAATGAAAGACACCACATGGGAGAAAGTCTGTTAGTGACAGTAAGGACACTAATGGAGATGTAGACTGAAGACAGAATAATCTTAAATTAATTTTAATAGAATGGTTTTAGACCCTGAATAAACAGTGCTGACATCAGAGGCAGACAAAGACCAAGGCAGGCAAATAATATTGCATAATTAGTGTTATTTTTTATGCAGAGCCAGACAAATAAAAATCTAAATGTGTTTTTAAAAAGAATTCAATCTAAACAAAGACAAATGTCTACAGTCATTCCTACAGTTAGTGACTTAAGCACACAGTTTTGCTGTTGTAGAAGGGAGGGTACTGTAGGGCCATCTGCGATCACCTGTCCAATATCTTGCCTTCTGTAGTCCTATGACTTGGTCCTAAATGTTTCAGCTTAGTCTGTTTCTCATTCCCTTCCCTGGAACACTAACAGCTGTTCCCAGCTGAATAGGCTGTATCAGAAATTACAGTTTCACTTGTGATATCTGAAAAGAAAAGAAAATAATTTGTGATTTTCCTAGTAGAATTACCTTGTTTCGAAGGACTGCATCCTGTATTTACAGGCTATTTTCTTTATATCAAGGCAGATTGAAGTGAAACCATTAAAGACCAATACGAACAGGTTTACTGTAGGTTCTTGGTCATGTTGCTGACTATGTGTTGACCTTTTATGTGAGAAGACTAGGCCAGGATGAGCTGCGTATACCCCAAACCTAAACTAGTTCGTTCACGTGCCTGTCTTTCCCTGTATTGCCTTAGTGTGTACTACGATACATACAGTCTCACTGGCACAGATCTTTCCCTCTGGGGAATGACATCATACCTGGACAAACCTATGGAAGAAAAAATACAGTTTTGTGTCTCCATTTAGTTATGAGTAAAGGAAGGAGATAAAAGTATCCTGTTACTGTCAATGTCAGTCTCTACCCCCTTTAGACAGTCTCCAAAATGAAGGCATGCTCTTACTGCTAAATGAAACCTTTTCACAGTCGGGGTCACACGCACCTGCAAGAACCTTGTACTTCTGCTGCCTGTTACAGGGCAGTCAGAGGAATACAAACTTAAGAGGTCAGCATCCTACTTCCCTCCCTTTAAGAGCAACTGTGACATGTGCAGCACAGACCAAGGAGGGTATTCCCAACCAAGCCAGACTACAAACAGAAACACCAGTCTGTATTAAGCAAATTGCAAACTTGCAATGCAAACCAGTTACTGGGGGCTTGAGGTCTGTTTATCATCCTGGGGCAGAATTAAAAAGGAGTGGGAAGGAAAGCAGCTTGAACGCTGTCATGAAGTTACAAAGTGAAAAAAAACCCTGTATTTAAAACAAGGTAATAAAAGAAAAAAATAATACTGTCTTCTATAGGAAAAAAAAAGTCAGGATTATAAATTCAGGGATAATGGTACACTAAGAGGTAATCAGACTATCACACAGAAACTGCAATGGCAGAGGAAGGATGTGGCCTGCCATGGCAATCTTTCATGGTGACTGGGTGACAAAAATGGTAGGGTGGAGCCATGGCTGGGATTGTTTTTGTATGAGGCTGTACCGTTGTGGGGACAGGTGATCCACAATGATACATTCCCCAGGAGGCCTTTACAAAAACCCCTATGTGCATAAACCTTGTGGGGGAGTGTGTTAAGACAGAGAGAATTCTGCAGCGCAGCAAGCATGTTCTGTCTTGGTTTTGCTTGACAGACCTAGTGTGCTAGAACTTACTTTCATCATCTGAGAACTGAGCCATCCCTCTCTGGAAAACAAGCCAGAAGATTCTGAGACACTGAAATAATTTTCAGCAAACCAGATTGACTGCACATGTACCCAAAACCTATCAGGTTAGGTGAAGCAGAGAATTAGTCTTTTTCTCTGATGTGATAATGTTTGACCACAAAATGATTCTTTATCAATGTGATAAAACTGTTAGAAAAAGAATTCTGACATGTAGCAGGTATCTCTTGGAGGCACTATATAAAATGTGTTGGGATTTTCTCTCTTAAATAAGCTTCCAGTGTCCACTGACTGACTGATGCCTGTGAGCACAAAGGTTTTCTCTAATCCTCCACGCTGTCTCACTGCAGTTTTTCCTGATGGGTCTGTCTGAGAACAGTCAACTGACTTTTCTGAAGTCTCCTTAGGTGGATTACTTTTAACCTATCAGAAAATTGAACGGGATGCTGAAAGACTACTGAAGATGGCCTGCCATTGAAGGGAAAACATTGAAGGGATTTTTTTTAGTTCAGTGCCACAAAGGTGAACCACCTATATGAAAAGGCATGTGACTATGACAACCACAAAAGAAATATTTGATTATTAACTCTACAAGTTACAGAAAGGAAGGCTTCACAATACTTAGAGTACAAGACTGACAATAAGGAAGCTCTAGTTGTAGAGGAATTATATTTCTAGACAATGACAACCTCTACCACTTTGGGTACATCTGCATGGTTTCTACATCTGCAAAATGAGAATAGCAGGTAATACTGATGAGATAACATGGAAATTAGAGAAAGGTTGTAAACCAACTTGAGGTGTTTTAGTAAATGTAAGTATCAAAAAACTCTGGGAAATGCTTTTACAAATGCTACAGATTCTATAATAGGATTTCAAGCTGGTTTTCTGCCAAAGTCCTTCAGACAGTTTGAGGGATTGTTGGGATTCCAGATACAATAAACATTGCTTAAGCTTCTGCTTACTAAAGTCAACTGCAGTGCAACCCTTTTCTTAGCTTATGATACATCATTTTGTCACTGTGACCACATATAACGTGATTTTCGGCGATGGCACAAAACTTACAGTAATCGGTAAGAATTTTTTGTTTTCTCTTTTAAATTACTTCAAATCCTAGGTCTTCACTTTAGAGAAGTTCACTTCAACCTTATTCTCCCTTTCGTTATTAAACTGATGTTTTCCTGATATGCTAGTAACCCAGTCTACTTTGGAAAATAGACTAGGTTTAGTACTCTAGGTAGGGACCCACACTTGACTTTGGAGAACAGAATTAATGCATTTTCAGTAAATGAAAGTTATCTGTAGAAAGAATAAGGATGAGGAATGGCTTCAAAAATACGTGTATATCATAAATAAATTGTCTTAATAAATTGACATCTGCAAAAATCACTATTCCCTAAAAGTATAACTGTTCTCCATAATGCTAGTTTTCGTGGTGCTACAGGTAATTAAGAACAACTTAATGAAAGGCTATCTGTCTGGAAAGAACTGAGTTGCAGTAACACTTTGGACAGGTCTAGGAAACGAAATCAGGCCTCTACAAACTTAAACTACTTTGGATCTTTTCAGGGTAAGCTAAAGCATGTGTTATCTCAGATAACTGGGAAAGACAAATAAGTGTACTAACATTTTTAGTTGTCAAAACAGAAGCCACAAATAAATACTCAACTTTATTATAAACAATACTAACAGCTCTCTGCAGCTGTTTAAGTCCTTGTTGTTATAGAAAAAAACTCTCCACAGCACAGCAAGTTTCTTTGCACAACACAGGCTCATCAGGATGGTAATAAAAAGATCATTTAGGACAACGGTCTTACTATTTCACAATAGATGCTAAAAGGCCACTGAAAACCACAGAAACAGGATTTGTTGTTCATTGCAAATAAAAGCAGCTCTCAGGGAATGTTTCTCTCAGGGCCACGCTTCTGGATTTGGACTTTCTCCAAATCTGGGGGAAAACAAGGCTGCTTTTAAGACTCGATAAATGATGGTGAACTCTTCTCATTGCATTGCTCCTGGAGTCAGAAGAATTGATGCCTCAGGCTTTTGTACCACACTGTCCCACTGCATAGTAAAATGATTACAAGTGATAAAATTCAACCTCCATAGGAAAAATTCAGTGATCAGCATGGTTTTTGAAATGTGGTGTGAATTCAAAGTGTCTCAACTGATGAAAATAAATATACTGATCCCTCATTGACCATAACTAATTATGCAGCTAACTCTGAAAAACATAGCTAAGAGAACAGAAAGAATAAAAGCAAAGACTTCCTTCCAGGGAAGGAGAAAGGGAGGGATGTTTAGGAATTGCTACAATAGGCAGGGTGGACCAGGGTTATATTAGATGTAATATATGCCTCCAATATGCAATATAATAGAAGTTATTTTGTAAGTAAAAAAAATCCAAACAAACATTTATTTTACAAGAGAAGAACATTCATGTTATTGAAAGGAAATGAGGCAGTTAAGGAAATTAGGCTGTTTCATTGAAAATAAGCAAAGAAAATTGCTTTGTCTGCATATGGGAAAGTATTTTCTAATAGTACACCTAGATAAATAGGTAAATATCCTCTAAAGAAATGGTGAAAGCTGCAACAACTGATTCACCTAAACCTGAAGGAAAAGGGCTCTGGAAGAGGTATTTCTGAGCTTGATCTCACCTGGTTAGACACACAGATGTGATGGTATTCCCTTACAGACATTTCTTTTTTGTTTAGGGGACCATAAATTAATGTACTTTGTTATTTCGTCTTTTGCTGGTACCACATGAGGTTAGTCCACAGGTTTGGCTCAGAGAACTGAGAATAAAGGAAACGTTTTCCTGCAGCTGCAAAACAGTGTGAATAATGAAAGACTGTACTTTGGCAGTGGGACAAAACTCACAGTCCTAGGTAAGACAGAATTCAGATCTTTCTGATATATGTGATACTGGTTTAAGGGACAAAAGCATTCTTAATTAACAACAGAATAATGATAATTTTTCATACAGCCATGAGGACAGGATTAATTATTTCTTGGTTGCTTATTAAAATAAGATATGATAATATGGAACTGTAGGATTTGCAAGCACAAATTTTGAGATCCTTGTGTCTGTTGCCTTTATCTTCATTTATGGGGAACTTCCTGAAGGAAGAAAGGAAGATATAATTCTGTTTCTTCCCATTCTCCAAGAAAACATTATAGAGGTTGGGAACGAAAGATTGTTTTTCAGTCTGCAAGTTTTTGCAGTTCATTCATCTAACATTCAAAAGCAACATTTCAGAGGTAGACTCCGGATTCTTGTGTTTGCTGAATCAGC